TCTCTCTCTCTCTCTCTCTCTCTCTCTCTCTCTCTCTCTCTCTCTCTCTCTCTCTCTCTCTCTCTTTCTGATGGTGTGACTCATAATCCCTTTGCTTCATAGTGAACAAAAATGATCTTTGGGACTACAAGGCTGGAATGTTCAGCCTCCCGCTTACTAGCTGTCTGAACTCGGGTAAACTGTTGAGGCCAAGGGAGGCAACCACACGTGTGCACTTGGTATGAAAACACTTTATCAGCAAGGAGAATGCCAGGATCGGTGCATTGTATCCCGTCGTATCCTATTATATTATGTTGCTGGGATCATTCCTCTGTGTTACTTAAGCACACACATGCCGTAGCTTTTGGCTGTCAGTACACCTTTTCAGCTGTCCATAGAAAGAAGAACAAGAGGCTCTGATCGGAACAACTTGGCCACTGTGAGAAGAAACGTGTCCATGGTGAGGGCGAATCAGGAGGGGCAAGGACAGCTGCCCACTGCCATCTCCTCCGTCTTACCTTTATTTTCCTTGCTTTGAAGACTGGGGCATGGTGGTATCTGTCTTCAAAGACAGGAAGTTTGTACATCTGCTGTACTGTGTACCCGCTCTTTACTGGATTATGCTGCATTATCTAAATAAACAAGGGCATGGCCAGCACTTCCTCCCGGTGCGTGCAGAGCCACTGAGTCACAATACCGTTTCTTTGTAACTTGACACACGGACAGCAAGATCAAACGGCAAACCTCTTTCAGCTGCAAGAACTTGCAGCACCCACTCAGGGTGAGGGCATTTTTGTGGTGTCTGAAAGACTTTTGGTGGTGTCTAAATGCTTCATGGGCTGCTGAAGAAATTAATGACAAAGAATGATCTGACACCAGCTCAGTGACCAGGCATAAATTTAGATTTCATATAGATTCTATGTACTTACTAATATGAGTTGATATTATCTTCCATGAGTATCACAATTTTATGTATATATTAATTAAATTTATGTATTAATATTGATTTGAACATGTGTTCAAAAGTATATTTATACACACTTTGAGTAATATTTATTCTAGTTAATATAGACAGTATGTGACAGTATGTATGGAGACCTAATACAGTAACTCTGGTTCACCAGTAAAATACACAGGGCTTTCTTAGTTCAGAATAAAAGTTAGATTTGCTTTCTTGTTTGTTTTTTTTCTTAATTTTTCTTTTTTTACTCTTTCATCAAGGTGTTGATTTCATCCCTAAAATAAGTCTTACCATAGATAAAATCTTGGTTAAACCCTCAAAACGTAATGTAGAATATTGTAATTGGTTTCTAGCAAGGTTTCTTACTTCCATTTTTGATTCTCTTTAATCTCCTCTCCAACTGAAAAAAATGTTATTTTCAAAAAGTAAGCCATTTCAAGGTAACCAGACTTCAGTGACATTAGGGAATTCTCTCCCAGATAACACACAGCCTTCAAAGTCAAAATCTCACACACCCAAAGCAGAGCTGGGACCATGTCAGCAACAAACTCAACCCCTCCCCACTGTTTTGGTCAGCTTTGCACCACTCTGATCAAAAGACTTGAGGAGAATAGCAGAGTGGTGGGGGGCGAATGTTTATTTTGGATCATGGTTTAGTACATGGTCTGCTGACTCCATTGCTCTGGGCCCAAGGTGAAGCAGAACATCATGGCGGAAGAGCGAGGTGGAGGAGAGCTGCTCGGGACATGACCAGCAGGAAGCAGAGAGAGAACTCTGCACACCAGGGACAAAATGTATGACCTGAAGGCATTCCCCCAGGGACCCACCTCCTCTGTCCACAGGCTACCTTTCTACAGTGACCTCCCACTTAATCCGCATCAGTGGATTGGATTGATCTACTGTTCAGGTTGGCCCTTCTCATAATCGAATCCTTTCACCTCTGAAAATACTTGCGTGGTCTCATACATGAACTCTTAAGGGACACCTCACAATTAAACCTTAACACTCACCATCCAAGGCTGACTTGGGACACTCACAGGAATGGACAATAAAAGGCAGAACTTCCCATTTCCCCAGCAGTTCTCAGGGTTTGACCTGTAGCCATGCCTTCACTCTCCCAGGCAGAGATCACAGAAACTCGGCAAGTGACGTTGCACTTTGGCCATTAGCTCCCTGATACATCCCGGTAATGGCAATCAGAAAGACATTAGCACCCACAAACTCGGCAAGAATTTTGTGTCATTTTTAGTGTGTAGATTCTGTGTCACCCCAGAGAAGACTCATCTTTTAAAATAACTTCATTAAAACATGCCTTACCCATCACAAAGTTCACTTACTTCAGGTCTCTTACAGTGACACTGGCACCTTTATAAAGTGGTGTGACTATTGCCAAGAACCAGTTTTACAACATGGTCTTCCCCCTAGTAAGATCTTGATGCTCATTTACCTTTCTTACCGCCCCAGCCCTAGGCAATCACCTATCTACCCACTGTCTCCTTAAATTCTCCTTTTCTGTTTCACATAGATGTGGCCTCCAATGTCTGGTTTCTCTCCCTCACCATGAGGCCCTGGAGTTGCATTGGTAACATAGCTGGCCACCAGCAGAAATCTCTCCTCCACTGATGGATAGTAGCCCACGGGCTCATTCCACTTACCCATCCACCAGGTAGGTGATGGATATTTATGCTGTTTCTGGATTGGGGCTCCTATGGATTAGGCTAATATGAATATGCATGTGAAAATTGTTGTGTACATGTGAGTTTTCATTTCTGTGGGTAGATGCAAGAAGTGGACCAGCTACATTAAGTGGTGAATTCCCATCTCAGTTTTGGTGAGACTTCCAAACTGCTTTCCAGATAGTCCCATTTCACATTCCCAACAGCGATGTATGTGGGATCTCTTTCTGCATGTCCTTGTGCACAGTTGTCCTGCCCTACTTCTTATTGTCCAGGAGGGGAGAAATGTTACCTCTCTTTGTTAATGTGCATTATTTACCTAATTACTAATGATACTATGCATTGCTTCATGTGCTGGTTTGTGTATTCTCTTTGAAGAAATGTGTGCCCATGTCTTTGAACCATTTTTTGGATTGGGGTATTTCTCTACTCATTACAAAGTTGTAAGTTTGTATATTCCAAATATCCACCTCTCATTGGATATATGTCTTGTCTATTTTCTCGCAATCCATTGCTTGTATTTTCATTTTCTTAATTTTGTATTTACATTTACAATTCACTTATGTTTATGGCCTGAAATATTCCAATTTCTTTTAAGGTAATGATGAAAACTTTATTACTTGTTCATTTAGGTTTTTTCAACACCTTTATTAATATATAAATTATGTTTATATATGAGCATATACACAACGTACACAATTTAACATTTTGAAGTATATTTCCAAAGTCATATCACC